CTGTTACCAATCTGTCATTTTCCAAGAAGAGAAGTTCCTACAGACTTTGAAGCTCTTCTCCACCTGTCTTATCAACTGCACACTTCCTCTAAGGGTGTTCTGTGGGACAGTATTCATACTGCGGCGTGTTAGGAAGCAGTTACTACGTCAGATTTCCATAGCACTTGCTCTCCTTTTCTTAGGAGGACGTTATCTCTGCCTGATGCAGTACACAGTGATGCGTGAGGGAATTTTCCAGTTGGTTTCACTACCAGGCAAAGCAGTATGCTTTAACAACTCTATTCGGCTTCCTCAACAGATGTTTTACTCCATCCAGAACCTTGGTGCACTGGTGTGTCTAGCATGTTTGACAATCAAAATGGATGTTTCTTAACTCCTTCCTTCTCCACGAACAAAGAGCAGCCACATTTTCTGCTGCCTACTTTGATGTGGAAGTTAGTAATAAATCACTTAAACCAGCAAACTTCAATCTTGAAGACATTCACGTTCAGTTTTTTTGTCTGCGTAGAGACTAAAGCTTTCACACCCAGAAAATACTACTGTGTCACACAGTAAACACAAAGCACCAAAGCTTTCAGAGTTAAGTGATGTAAGTTTCTGGCTTGTAGATTCAAGCTACTAAACCATTGTCATTTCAAATCCATCCTGAAGTGGAAGGAAACCTAATCCAATGAACATTAACATGAAGAATGGAACCCAAAATTAACTAGACATCTCAAATTGTTATACATTCATTTTTTCCAATCAAATGCTTACAACTAGTTAATATGGTTTTACTATCTAGTCTTGGAAGTTACAGCCATGAAGATATTTTTTAAAGATTATTAATAAGAGTATGTGAATTTGAAGTTGATATGAGTTATTAAAACTTTAAAAATCCACAATAGTTGACAATTAATGAATAATTATTATATAAGTAAGTAATTTGAAATGAAATACTGAAGATGCATTTATATTCTTGGCAACTTAGATAATCTGCTGTCATCATCATGTGCTAACATGTGTGAACACATGTGTCTGTATGAACAACTGTCTTATGTTGGACTGTTAGCTCCCAGAAGTAAATGACAACACACTATATAAAAGGTACTTAATTATGACACAGTTCAGTCTTCATATCCATGTTTTCATATTCATAGATTTCTCCACTTGTGAATGAGAAATATAGCTTGGCCTAAGATGGCAGCAGGCCATAGACAGGATTTTCTTTGTCATTATTTCCCTGAACAGAGTAATAACTTGTGATGGGGTGTGTTCTTCTGTGTATGTGTTTCTAATATTGGCTAATTAATAAAACACTGATTGGCTGATTGGCCAGACAGTAAGTGATCTAGCTAGGCAGAATCAGGATATAAGCAGAGGACAAACAGGAAATCACTTTCTTCTCTGCAGAGACACTGAGCAGTCGTCATGTAGAACATCAGGGGAGTAACAGGTCTGGTTAGGTAAGACCCCTTGGAAATACATAGATTTACAGAAATGCGTTAATAATTAACCAATAAGAAAACCAAGCTCACGGCCACAGATTCATAATTAATGTAGTGTCTGTGTGCTTCTTTGGGACAAAGAAGGGTTTGGGACCTACCTGGGTCAAGAAAACGTCATATTACAAACATGCATGGTATTTCTATTGTATAAAGTGTTATAAATAATCTAGGGGCTGCTTAAAATATATGGGAAGTTACATATATACAAAATTTTGTATTAGGATTTCAATAATCATGAACTATGGTGCCCATATTGTCCTCACACTAAGGAATAAGTACACTGAGCTATGACCTCCTTACCTAACTACTCTACTCATCAGGAAAAGACACAGAGAGAGAGAGAGAGAGAGAGAGAGAGAGAGAGAGAGAGAGAGAAGCAAGAGGTATCAACATAGTGTTAGCTCTATCTAGCTTTAGTAGAGTTCTACTTGTAGTCTGTCATTCTGATGCCTCTGATGTCCTTTTCCTGTCACTAAGGTAATCCATACACAATATTGTGTTGTGTTGAAACTCCTGTCACAAACTTTGTTCCTCTGCTTCTTGCCACATGATTTAGTCACAAATATTATTTTGAATATACAAAAGAAAACATCGATGGGTCCCCTCAGCCCTCTGGGCAGAATCAATGCCATCCTCCCAATCTAAATCTTCTCGTTTAAATCAAATTCGTTTTATTTTAAGAGAGGAATTTGTCCTTTGTGGCATAACAGGCAAATTCACCTAATATTTCCTTCATAAGCACGCCTCTAATGAAATCAATCATCAATTCTCTCCGCTTATAAAATATGTTTGCTTTCCTACAATATAACAAGCAATGCTTTAGTTATTCTATCAATGCATAAAATAAAATTCGATGTTTACATTTCCTTTCATCACTAAACAGCTGTGTTCTTAGCTACTGTACATAGATAAGAGATGGATAACTATAACGGGTAGACTCCAAATAGTCACAAATGGAAGGCATTGATTCTGAATAAAATAACCACTCACAGCGAGTTCCACTCTACTCTGGCTTTTCCCCTAGAAACATTTGTGGTTGCCCTTTGGTTTCAATTAAGAAGCATTCTGAACAAAGACGTAGTTAGCCTGTGTCCAGAAATAGCATTGTGGAATAGTTATAGGAAGGAATGTCATGAATACTCACAAGAACAATGTGTATTAATGCACACTCTGATTTTATGGATGAATCTAAGGTATAACCTCACAATTCCACGGGTCTGGGCATCAAAAGTACATGGGATCACTATGATGATGGAAGTCGCTACCATGTCCCAAGAAGTATTGATGTGTAAGTAACATAACCCTGCCTTATTAAAAAAGCAAGCTCTACTTACATCCATGCAGTAATTATGTGAGATTGTGAAAATGGAAAAGCATAATTGCACTTTTGTCCTAAGTCTTTATTTTCTACTCTAAATACAACTAAGTCACAGAATAATGAAGAAGCAGGAAGGCGATGCTAGTCTTGCTCTTTGCTCTATATCTGTTGAAATCACAACCAACGCTCGCTCATGAAGAACCATGCTGTTACAAGCCAGTGCTGAGTTCTCATAGAGGTGCTGGACTTGTAATATCTTCCCTCATGACTCATCAGCTCTGAGCTCAGCTGCTCATGTCCTAATGTAAGCAACCACTTTCCTGATCTTTTCCCAGTTCTAATGATGTCACCATGACTACTAAAACAGTTCTTTACATTGTATCTCTTTCTCTGGAGTGTTTTGGGGGGTGGGGAAATGAGGCTAATCTTTGCATCTTTTTTTTCCCCCTAAAGTTTCATTGTTCTCTCTCGAGCTTTTCTTCATCTCTAAAGCCAATGGTTCTCAACCATAGCTATACTTTGGAATCAAGTGAGAAAAATTAACAACAAAATGACAACATTGAAGTGGACTCTGGATATATTTACTGAAAACTGTGGGTTAACATGATTGTCTTAAACGTGTGCATTTCCCACAGCCCTGTCATCTGAACTCTTAGCTTGTCTTCACACAAGCCCAGCCTTGTCAACTGTAAGATAAATAAAAGCTGAATTCCACTGTTTGATAAGGAAAGGATTACTTCTGCTGAGGCGGCAAACAACTGCACATTTTCCATAGGTTAACATAAAGATTTAAGTTGCGTTAATATAAATTTTCTATGTCTCCTTCCCTTCCTTCTTCTCCCTTTCTCCTCCTTCTTCCCTCTCTTCCCTTTCTTCTCTCTTCTCTCTTCCTTAATGCTGTACTAAAACCCTATTCACATTATTGCAAGTTGTCTTGGCTTTGCCAGCTGGCATAGGACTGTCCTTTATCAATCAAAGACAGAGGAGTTATTGCAAAAGAGAAATGTGCCAGTGTGTTTTCTTTTCCCATGTTATTCTTGTGGTACGTTAATGAAGTGACTGTTCCCTCGGATCCAGACTGAGTTTGTATATGGCCTTGCATACTCAGTGCCTCGTCAGCTAGTCTCTCCATCATACTTGCTTGCAGTTGTGAGTATTGAAGGCAACATACCAACAATCTTCACTTGATCACTACAAGATCTTCCAACTCAACATGCCTCCCCCCAAAGATCTTGTTAGCATCTTGTGATCTCCCCATTAGAATCCTGTGAACAGGACAAATATGTACCCATTTTCCCAGTTTTGGATTTAATCCCTGTATCCTTCTTACATAGTAAACTTGCTCTGTTTCTGAAATCTTGCCCATCTAAGCCAGGACCAGCAATGTACATGACCTCAAATACCCAGGCTCTGAGCACCTAGACCGTCTCCATAGTTGATGCCTAGACTAGAATGCCAACAGAAGGTAGGACCAGTGATGTAGTATATGGCCTTGAATGTAGAGTGCCTAAGCAACCGTACTGTCTACATAGTTTATGATATGGCCTGGGAGACGGCTCTGCTGCCAAGCTTCTTCAGGGCACAACGGTTTGCAGAGCTGCTAGATCTGCCCCTCGCTATGTAGCCAAGTCTGTGATGTACCCTTAAGGGACCAATTTCAAGTTTACTGCCCTTATCAATTCACAATCATTAACCTCCATAAATCTGTTAAAGGTCTCCAGAGTGGTGGGCATTTGCACACTGTCTCATCAACTATACATCATATATAAATGCATTTATTGTGAATTTATATTTGACCAACCCTTCCTATCTTCCAGCCTATTCCAGCATATCACAGTGTGAATGAAGATGGACTTCTTCACACAACTGAAGAACACTCACTTTTAATTAAGTGTATTAGTCAACATTACCCTAACATGCTACAGGAAGCATTCTGTTTTTTCACCCAAATAATAAATGTACTTGTTTTAAATATTAACCATTTTTTTCACCTTATTGACTATTTTTGTTTTAAACTACATTAGTTAGTTTTTTTTAAGTTACTACATAAGTGAAAGGTGTCATGGATGTGTGATTATTCAAAGTGAATTAATAATTACATTTTAAATTCTTAGCCTTCATTTCCAGTATTTTAAATGATAGAATCCATATACATGAAAGCTCTTTGGAGTTTATAGTGTCTTTTGTTTTTGTTTTTTAATATGGAACACTTCATGAGTTTGCATGTCACCCTTGCACAGGGGCCATGCTAATCTTCTCTGTATCTTTCCAATGTTAGTAAATGTGTTGCCAAAGTGAGCACGTCAGTGGTTTTTAAGAACCACAGGGAATATGCAGAACTTATTCTGAGAAGTAGGGTTGAACAATATTCTAGATCATTGTAGCATTTTTCCTCACTTAGGTGACTGTTAAAGGTAAGGGAAGTTGTCACGTAAGCTCATCTACCATGAATCAAGGGGGTTTGGTGAAGTATGTTTCTTCTCTCGGCTAGGGATCTTCCTACCCATGAGCCCCAAGTCCCCTGTAGCATTCCTGGATCCACTGCTCTAGCAAGTGTGCAATTACTCGAGGAGGGCCCATACCTTGTTTCTGGCCCTGGTGACGCATCTTATTTACTAACGGTTTATCAAAGGTAAGAGTTGTGTTCCTGTTGGAAGGGGAGGGCTATCTGAAAGAAGGAAATTAAAAAAAGAGAGTGGGAGAAAAGACACCTAAAGAAATTGTCTTCTTCAGAAAGGAATATAACTCCACAGGGGACCCTGAAAAGTTTCTGAGCCAAATCATGTTGCTTCTGCCTGCACTGTTTATTTGCAGTTTGTCTGTACTACTCTTTCACAAATGCCTGAGTTACCGGAGAACATTCATTATCTTTGTCACTAGCCACTAGTCACTAGCCGTATCTGGACTATTTCCTCTAAACCTGCTTTTCTAACAGACGCCTGAACACGGCTATCTATTTCAACTAATTAGATTGTCCTTTGCATCCCTAATTCCCCCACACACACTTCACTTGACAGAAGAAAGCTGTCTCCCTCTGATTATATGTATCATATCCTAAATATTACCTTGACCTTTGCTCTTCCAACACATCTGTCTCATTTTGTTTCTTTCCATCTTCACTTTCCCCAAATTCCAGTATAATAACCTGGAGGGAAATGAACAGAGGACTAAATTCCAATCCTTCAGTTATTTGAACTTGAACGTTTTTCTCCACCCTTTTTGGTCCTTGAGTATTTGATTTGCAAAATTATTTTAATAATGCCCAATTTTTCACATCTCACAGAAAATCTGACAGCACAAAAGATCAGGGAGTATATAAAACTATCTTAGATAAAAGCAATGTACTGGTAAATAGGCCATGTGAACAGTGTTGTCATTATTCACCACGGCACCGGCATTTTATTCTGACCTCTATGTTCTGGCTGCTATGCTCTTCAGGTTGTATTTCTTTGTTCACGTGTAAAATCTTCATTCATTTATTCAATACGCTTTTAGTTTATTGACAACAATGAGCCAAGAATGTTCTGGGGGTGGGGGTAGGGCAGACTGTAGACACATGGATATTGCAGCTATCTTAACCATGGAGAATCTGCACAGCAGTCCTTAAGACCGACAGGAATAGGGATGCTTTCATCCTGGATAGAGTGTGTGGCTGCTGAACCAACAACCGCCAAGCTTCAATGGCTTAATCTCACCTGGTATTTGCCAACGATGGGCAACAGGGCTCCCTTCTTCCCTGAAGTCCCCAGTGAACTCCCCAGGAGGGTGTGAGAACTTTAAAAAAAAATCTTGAAATCAGTTTTGTAAGTATCTCTAATTAACAATATGTGATATCTTCAGAATCTAATTCTTATGCGATATTTCATTACTGAGCCATAGCTAACCATGATACTGTGTAAAACAAAAGAGCTTTGAGGTCCTCTGTTACTTGAAAGGAGAGGAAACTCATGGAAGATGAGCAGTAGAATTAACTGATTTAGTACCCTCGAATAGAGGTTGGACGGGGAGATGGGGGCTGGGGGTATAGCTCTGAGATGATTCATTTGTCCTGTGTTCAAGAGGTCCTGAGGCCAGCCCCTAGCACCACAACAAGCTCTATCCTATTTTGGGTCAGCAAGAAGGGCTTCTTAGGTGAGTTCACAATTGTACCTGAGTGGGGTGAGGGACTAAAGAAAAGAAAAATAGGCAACAAAGTAGTATGACAATAGAACACAAAGATATATATATATATATATATATATATATATATATATATATATATATAACCACAGAGGATCATGATAAGAAAGGATATTTTATATTCATCATCAGAAACCAGTGATACTCTCAGTATTGAGGCAGACTTTGCCATATAGGCTAAATTTTATTCTGTAAACCAAAGGAAATCCAATGAAGGATTGAATGAACAAAGCATCCAGAAAACAGTTTATTTTAAGAAAGAGGGTGTCCAAAAGTAGAGCGTGTTGGAAAGAAAAGGAGTAGATGACAGAGAATGAGAACGTACCACAAAAGATTCATGGAAGGTAATAGAGAATGAATATGAGGGGCAGATTTAATAGGTGATTTTCAAGTAGAATTTATTTTTAAAACGTGGCCATCTATATAGCATTTATGGAAAGTAAATCAGAGAATTGTGTCAGGAATACTCTTTAGATGACTACTTAAAATTCACACCAAAGAACTAGAATGTAAATGAGGTCTGTGACCAGGAAGGTTGGAGGAAAAGCACTGGTTTCCATTTGGGGCATTCAGGCTTGCGGTAAACAGACACCTCAGCCTTGGTGATGTTACGGTGAGCAGGTGACCTTGAAGTACAGGCATTGGAATTAAAGTTCAGACAGAATTGTATCATGACCCTGTAGATTACCAGGTTTAAAATTAGATTGAAAAAAAAAATGATTACCCCATGGGATTTTCAGAGTTCAAAAAGATGAATTGAAATATTAATTAAAGATATGATTCCAGGTGGGCAGGGTATCATGGTCCTCAAATTTTATTCCACAGGAGGAGAACAGACAAGGATCCAGGGACCCCAAGGTAGCCTTAGCTACACAGTGAATCTCAAAAACCCAAGGGCCAGACATGAAGGTCAGCAAGTCATTCCCTTCACATGAGATTGGCCATGAGTGTTATCCTTGGCAGGATGCCAAAAGAGGAAGTATTATTGTAATGATTTATTCACTGTTTTAGTTGTCGTCCTTCTGATTTGCTAAGTGTACACACTTGTGGTTTTATGATTTGTTTTATATTTAAATGCATACACATGTGTTTGTCTGTGGGTATCTGGGGGTAGTTTGTATGCCTATAGAGTCCCTCAGAATTCAGAGACATCATACCCACTAAGAGCAGAGTTACCTGCAGTTCTGAATCGCCAGCTAAGGATGCTGGGAAATGAACTCCAGTCCTCTGCAAAAGCAAAGCAATGCACTCTCTTAAGCGCCAATGCTCTGCTCTAGCTCCTACTCTGTGTTTAAAACCACTTAAAGCATAGATTGTGAAAAGCCGTTTTCAGATGTATAAAATCATTCACTTCTGGACAATTTATAACTGAGGATACACACTTTTAGAAGAAAAAGAAAAGTGCATCTCAAAGAACCTCCTCACATGATTTCATCCTTGAACAATATACTAAAGCATCCCAAAGAGACATACACATCACCTATTTTTTTTTTTTTTTATTAACAAAAGCTATTATATAAGAGAAAAAGAAGAAAAGACATTGTTGGCGTCTGGTTTTCCCACAGCATCTGAGAAAGATAGATATCTCTCCGAATGAAGTTCCCCAACTGATTGACTGAGTAATACAATCTGAGGGAGAAGCCCTTTTGTGTTTCCATTGACATCAAGTTGAAGGTTCTGCTGGAGTGGGGCATGTGACTAGCTACCCAGGCTGCTTCCTCCCTTTGTGTTCAGTTGGAAGTTTGGGGTTTACCCATCTCTGCTTGAGACCTGTGGTTATTTTGATGTAGCCAGTTTGATACCATTAGATGGGAAAATGTGCTCTAGAGCCAAATGACACAAAGTGTGTATCCTGGCATTAACTTTAATGCGCACCTGGGTTTCAAAAGTGGAAAAACAGAAACCTAAGTTCCTTTCTCTCCCTTTTGGGAGTCAACCCCAACACCATTTTTGTTTAAATTTCAGTCTCAGTTTCATCAAAGTCAAGTGTGTTTATGTGAAATTGCACACCAGATGTTCATGGCCATGGATGTGGTAGAGTTGTTTCATTGCCAATGTGACCCTGTGGATTTCACGATTATGAACCAAAGCAGGATGTTTATATAACGTTTCAACCACACACTATATGGAAATTTACTAATAAGAGTGTTATGGTCTCAAAGATATTTCTATTTTATATATATTTTAAATAACTCGTTTTCGTCAATTAGGGCCTATACTAATTGAAGTTTGAAGAAGTATAAATCAGTTGAGTGTTAATATGATTTTGTTTGTATAATTTCTATCATCAGTCTAATGTGGCCTATGAAGTAAGATAAAGGGAAACAAGGTTTACTGAACATTAAACATGATCCTTGTGTGGCTGGTTTATCAACTTCATTGCTTACCAACCACATTTGTACTTCCCTCCATTTCAAAAACAAACAAACAAACAAACAAACCACAAACTGCTGAATCTACCACTGAGTTTCTGAATCTAGTCCTAGATGCAGCCTGCATTCTTAAAACGTTCTCTGAAGTTCTAAAACTTCTGTTCTTCATCCAAGGGCTATACCCTTGTGTGGTTGAAAGAATATTTGGTCAGATCAAGCCTATTTAATGTTATCAGTCAACCTATTGTTGCTGTAACAGAATCCTGGGAGCTGGATCGTTTGCTACAAAAAGAGGTTTACTTAGCTTATAATTTTGAGGTTGACTTTACAAATAATATATGGCTGGCTCTGGAATGATCTCTGTGCTCTCTTTATGTGACCAAAGTCATCATGATAGAAACATGCACAAAATGGAAAATAACTTGGCAGGCTAGAATATCCACAGACCATGCAGGGGGTATTTTGTGTCTTATAGGGACTGATTTTTGAGAAGACTGAAATGTGAGAACTACCTAAAGGTTTCCTGAAGGCAATGTCCAAATGTCATAATTGCATTCTGTTAAGCCCTACCTTTAACATTACCTCACTGAGACCCAGAGACTAATACAAGAGCTGTTGGAAGACCAATCACATCTAAATTGTAATGCTGACTCTTCTTGTGAAATGAACTGAGCAGAGCAACTGATGCTCCTTGGGAACCTGAGTCACCATGTGAGAAAACATTACAAGAAGGAAGACCAGCAGGCCAGAC